TCACAACGACAAGTTAAGCTCCGATTTTCAAAGATATATTAGGAATTATACATTTTTATGTTATAAAATAATCACTGTATATAAATTATAAGTTATTTTATAGTAAAAGGCAGAAATAGTCGTGTCAGAAAGATAGCATTGAGAAAACGGATAGAATTGTACACGATGTTAGAAAGTGCAATAGTGCTGTTAATCGATCCGACAAAGAAATAGAGGGATTCACTCAATATGAACTTTATCCTCAACTTTGTTTGTCATCATAATAGGCTAACATTGCTTGTGGTTTTGTAATTTTTTTTTTTAAATATAATTTCTTCTGAAAAAAATACATGTTTTATTATTAAAATCGACTAAGATTATGCTTCTGGTTTTGTAAATTTTTAAAATCTTTTTTTGATACTTTTTTTTTTTTTTAATTTTAAATTTAAATTTTTTACTTTAAATTTTTTACCTGAAAAATAACTTACAACATAATTTTGTTTAATATTGATATAAAAATATACTACATATGTGGGAGGACGAGGGTAGCAATACAAACGAAGTATTTGTACATTATTTTATTTTACTTTTATTTAAAAAAATTCTATCCTCTAAAAAAAAAATATTCCGCTCCTTTAATCAGGAAATGCTCCGTTTCTTTAGAATAAAAAGCTTTATTTAATTACAACTAAAACTCTCTGTAAAGACTAAAAAAAAATTACAAAAACATTTGCTAAAAAATATAATACTTTTTGTACTAAAAGGTAGAAATAAACATTTTAATTTAACTGTAATAGTTCAGTAAACTAAAGATTGACAGGTCTGCACAAGATTTATACAAAAACCTGTCAATTTTTGGTTTAGTGAACTATTATAGTTAAATTAAAATGTTTATTTCTACTTTTTAGTAAAAAAAGTATTATATTTTTTAGCAAATGTTTTTGTTAATTTATTTTTTACTTTTTAGTCTTTACAGAGAGTTACATTTGTAAAAACCTGTCAATCTTTACTAAACAATTAAAATCTAACAGTCGGGTACGTGTATTTGAAAAAATATATAAGAAAATAAACTATTCTTTGAGTGGGGGGCATATATGTAATATATAAAGACTTGGAGGCGCTACCTGCAAATAATAAGCTCAAACGAATATGTAAATTGTTTTTTGCTTTTGTTAACATTCAAATTGTGAGATATTCATACTTTGGAATTGTTGTTTTTGTTTTTAAAATCGTTCTCTTTAAATTATTTGAGTATTTACATATCTAGATACATATACAGACCGTGCCTAGGCTAATTTACACACCTCAATCAAAGGTTGGAGCAACAAGTGAATTTAAGCAGTTTATTAATAATACCAAAATAGAACATTTTTTTTGTTTAAAGTACTCCAATGAATTTTTTTTTTTTTCAAAAAGAAAGGGCTGGGACACGGTACTGTTCATAAACAACCTTTTTAAATTTGCATATGAACAGTCAATATCTAATCTGTGTGTGTGTAAGAAAAAGCCAACAACAATTGAAATAACAGGAGTGATACTTATGTAAAACTCAAAATTTATTTTATACCTAATATATTTTTATTATATTTGTGGGGATGAAAACAGCCGTTTTTAATTTCTTTCTTGAGGACACTTCTTTTGTTCTAGATATTTTACAACTATAGATGTCAAAAAAAATATTTTTATTGACAAATCTTTCTCAGCAAAATAAAATATTAGATATTGAAATAAAATATACACGGATTCGCTTTCATTGCTACCATGATGGTTGCACTAACTGCTACTCTTCCAGTATTTAGATTATCCAATATTAACCTTTTGTATCTGATTTTATAAATGAATTTAGCAGCCTTGATTATAGAGATAAAAATGCATCGTTGGATGTACCAGACAAAATTTTGATGTTTCTTTTGATAAAAGCATTTCTAATTTTTATACTTGTATTTGATGCTTGGGTACTGCTTACATAAACTTTTGTATTAAGTTAAAAAAAATGGTTAAAAAAAAGATCCATGAATAATAACACCTATTTAATTTATAGTTATAATATATTTAAAACTTAAAATTAAAAATCATTATTACTCTAGATCCTAGACTTTTTTAACTATTTGTCTACCATGTTTAGTAATCTTTTGCTTAATCGCATAGAGTGCAGTACCGTCAAGTATTTTTGAAGTATCATTATCCACTCTGGGAATGATAATTACAGAATCTCTTATTAAATAAATATAATGTTGTTAATGTTGACGATGATACTGAAGCCAATAAAGATGATGACAATGAAGCCAAATTAGAAGCAAATGAAAATATTGTTTGGAATAAAAATGAAGCGCTTTGTAATATTAATTTATCAACACAGATACTTATTAAAGATTAGTATGTAAACCATATTCTTTCTTTACATTAAACTTTTTTTACATTGATACTTAACAGTTAAAATATTTTTGCAATGTGTTTACAAGTTAATAACATTAATTAATCATCTCAAGAAAGTACATTTTTGGGCGTCAAACTTGTTTACAGTTAGATACCCAACAATTTTGAAAAGAGAAGAAGAAGCATTGATTGTTCATATAATTCAGAAATCTAGAGACTGGAGCTTTGGGGTAGGTCGAAATTTTATTCAATCGATATCGATATTTTTATCAATTGAGAATTTTTTAAATTTAATGTTATTCTCCTCCCAAGGTGAGTGTAAATGAGTAGTTGTGGCCAGAGGAGGTTCTTACAGTCGACGAGACTATCTAACTGTGGTTAAAAACCTCTCTCAACTCTTGAACTTCTAAACACAAACCTTTACAAACAAGGCTGCTGCGCGGAAAAAAAAGTTTGCTTGTTTTAATATTAAGTTCAAAATTAAAACTTCAGTTACTACCTCCCATTCTCTAGCCTAATTTTTTCTATTCCTCATTGACATTTTTAATTATATAGAATAATACTTTTAAATTTAAAATAAATTAATACATTTAGATTCAACGTAAAAAAATTTTTCTATTACAATTTTAAATTACATTTAAAAATCTTTTTCAAAATAATTTGAAAAATTCTTGTTACAAATTATTAAATCACAATATATAAATTATAATTTAAACAACGTTAAAGTTGAAAATTTAACTAATTTTCAATATCATTGAACAAAAACAATATAAAAAACAAACAAACAAAAAAACACAAATTTACCCAATAAAACCCGAATTTACCCAAAAAACCCCACTGGGCCGGGTTTTTTTTAAAAAAAAAACCGGGTTTTTGCCAACCCTGGATGGAATCCCCCCAATTCAATGAATGGTTTGAACAGATATTTATTGACGAAACAAACCAGTTAGAAAGATTGAAGCTTCAAATATTTGTCGTACACACCTCTCACATATTAAAAGCTACTTTGTTTACCTGCACATACAAGCAGCCTTATGCGGCCATGGCGTAGTGGGTGCGGCCGTGGCGTAGTGGTTACAGCGCTTGCTTTATAAGCAGGAGATCCAGGTTTGAAACGAGCTTTGGACATATTTTCGCGTCACGGTAAGGAAGGAGGCGTGAACCAGGAATGGCTAAATGCACTTCCGTAGTACTCTGTGACAAGACCGTTAGGTCTTCTTGGTGCACCTAAATAACAAAAAAAAAAAAAAAAAGTAGTATTATATAGCCTTTAGATGTAGGTGTTTTCAAGTCAAAACATCTTGGAGTAACTGTTTAAAAACCTTTTATGATTCATCACAATAAAAAAAAATGTTGAAAGCAACTTTTCGACAATTGCTGACACTGGTTAGTGGGGCATTCAGTTAAAGCAATGCTATAATTGCTTTTGAAATCTGTGGAATTTTTCCATTAAAACGAAGTAAATTAACCAGAGAGATATTGTCAACGGCAGAGCCTCTGACATCCGGTGTAATTATTAGCGCAAATAATAATAAAAATAAAAATAAGATTACATCAGCAATCAGTGACATGGATAAAATAAGCTGCGTACCAATGCGAGTCACAAGCTCAGATGAAAAGCAGGAAGTTCTGACTCTAAAAAAATAAATAGAAGCGGTTCTTAAAGAAAAAGAATCAAGAAAACATTGACGGAATGTCTGACATCTGATAAATCTCGTGCAAGATTAAATGAAATGGAATCAACCAAAAAAAGGCAAACTTAAAAAGAAATAACGTAGTTTTTCATATATTCAAGTAGAAAATATCAGAACTGAATCTATTTAAATAATAAACATTGGTTAACACTAAAAATATTGGATACCAATAAAAATTTTGTCGCAAGCTAGAAAAAATTTTTTTTTTTAAAGATGTGTCAATGTTAAACAACTTTATCTTACATTTATCTTCTAGTTACCTGAAGTGTTTTCTAACTCCTGTTGAAATCAATATCTCTTATAAAAGTCAAACTATTTTCTTTATCCCTGGGAGGTTCGGTTTATGTTTTTTTTTTTTTTAATCAAACAAAAGTAATTTTTTTTGAATAAAAAGTTAAACTATTTTATTGGTTTTGCTTTATTCAAGTTGTATTGTTTACACATTGAAAACATATCTACTTCTCTTCGTTAAACTTTTTTTTACTATTTTTTCATTAATAAGTAAAACATATTTGCTTCTATTGTTCAAAATTTTTAAGCCGTTATGTTGTCACTTGGTAAAAAAAGGGACAGACGCAAAAAATCAAAAAAATTAAAAAGAACTATAATAAATGTAAAGTAACAACAACTTTAATTTTTTTTTGTTTGTTTGTTTTTCTTTATTAAATTAACACACCATTTTATTTAGCACTTTTCATATAAAACTTCACCAATATAAAAAAAATACTTTCTATATAAACTATGTTTTGACTACTGTATAATAATTTATTTTCCAAATATCTGTAAATAAATAAACCATATTTAAATACATTATATAAATATACTGCCTAAACAAATTGCGATTTATTTTCCCAAAAAATTATTTATATTCAGGATTATTGCAGCAGGAAACAAAACGACAATGTAAACTTATACCATGAACACGCATTTATAAAAAAAAGCCAATGCAAGCAAATTCTAATCAATATAATTCCATTAAAATTGAACTAATTGATAAAAGCGAAAAGCTAGCATCTTTTTTGAAAAGCTCATCAAACGGTTGTTCCTGCTGTAATTTTATAGTGAAGTCTTGATGTCGCAGAAAATATCCAGGATAATTTGTGGACTCAAAAGAAACGTAGTTTGGGTAGTAATAATTTTTACGCATAATAAAAGAAGCATCATTTTTAAAAAGCTCTGAATAAAGATCTACTTGGTTAAGCTTAAGAATAAAATTTTGGTGACGTAGGTACTTAAGACCATTAATTACCGACTGAAGAGAAACAGAGTCTTCTCGCCCGTTAAGTGCTAAAAGAATAGAAAATATAATAATAAAATTTCTACAAAAATCTAAAAACAAAATAAAAGTATAGATGTGCAAAAAATGTTTTATAAAGTTCAAAAAGTAATATCATTGTGTGTTATTACTTTATTTGTTATTTTTTTATATATTTGTTATTATTTTTAATATTGATATTATTTTTAATATTGATATTATTTTTAATATTGATATTATTTTTAATATTGATATTATTTTTAATATTGATATTATTTTTAATATTGATATTATTTTTAATATTGATATTATTTTTAAATATTGTTATTTTCTTATGTCCATAACAACTAATAACTATACCTTTAACAACGCGATATTGATCCAAGGAATTTAAAATAATTGCTGCTGTATCATCGCTTCGAACTCCAATTCGATATCGCAGATAGTTATTGGATTGAAGTAAATATTGTTGTCCAATATATGCTGTTGAAATGCAGTTAATAATATTTCAAAATTGTTATTTTTTATCAAAACCACTATTTAATTTACATTTTTTAAACAATTTCTAATATAAATAAAATATAAAATAATTCTTTTTTAACTTTTTGATTTATTACAATAAGTTTATACTGTTGGCTAAAAAATATTTCTAAAAATTTTATATATTTATATTAAAAAATATTTCTAAAAAATAAACTTACAAATTCCTAGCTGTACAAGCCTAAAACTTGCATCTCTTCTGTAAAGTTCTTCTTGAGGTTGTTCTTTTTGTAGCTTCACTGTAAAGCCTTGATGTCTAAGAAAATACCCCGGGTAGTTTGTGGACTCAAGTGAAATATAGCCAGGATAATACTTATTAGGGCGAATGATGAAAGATGCATCATTTTTGAAAAGGTCGGAGTAAAGATCCACCTGATGTAACTTCAGAATAAAATCCTGATGACGTAGGTACTTGTTGCTTTCTTTAACTGATTGAAAAGATACTGAGTCGCTTCGTCCGTTTAATGCTGAAATAGTAAGGACTCAAATATAAAATCAAATTCAGTATAAAAAAAATGAGTTTTAACATTATTTTTTTCTTTTAAACAAATTCAATTCTTGTAAAATAAATTAAACTTTCTTAATTTTTAAACAAAACTTTCTTAACTTTTAAACAAAATTTCAAATTTAATCGCATATAGTAATAATGAGAATAATAATTTTATTTTAGCAGTTTAGCATCATTTAATAAAAATGTTGATGTGACAAACTAAATTTTTGTAAAACTAAATTAAAAATCGTTATATATATATATATATATATATATATATATATATATATATATATATATATATATATATATATATATATATATATATATATATATATATATTTGTAGTTGTACCTCTAACGATGCGATATTCCTCAGCGCTGTATAAAGCAATTCCAACAGTTGCATCACTTCTCACTCCAATGCGGTATTGTGGGTAGTTATTGGATTCAAATGAATAAATTTCTCCAATATTTGCTGTTAAAGTTCAAAAAGAATTCAAATAATATTATTTTTTTAAAAACGACTTAAATATAACATTTGAGTAACTAACCTAAATCTAAAAAAATAATTTGAAAACGCAAAAATAAATTTGTGACCTTATGTTAGTTTAAATATTATTTTTTTATTTTTATGAAAGTTGTTTTTTGTAAATTAAATATTAAATATTTGAAAACTGTTTGGTATAAAACTGAGAGACAACAAAATATGTCTCCAATACAAAGAAATATTTGAAAATCTTACTTACATATGCATATATCTTACATATGCATGTATACTTACATATGCATATATACTTACATATGCATATACCTTACATATGCATGATTGCTGACAACTTTATTAATTTATGTTTTTAAAGTTTAAAATTATCCTTTAGCAATTAATAGTAGTTAGTTTATTTAATAAAAACAAATACATTAAACATCTTTAGGTTTGTTTTTAAGTTTTTCTTGAGATATATATTTTTTGAATTAGTTTATTTCTGGATGGTAAATATAAATATTATAGTTGAGTTGGTAATTTTCACACTATGTAGATTTTGATCTTTAACTAGTAAACTCTTCAGTTTTTTTGACAGGTAAACAGTAATTCCGTGAAGATTTTAGCGTTTCAATTTAGCTCAACGTAACTTTGACCTAGTGAAACATGCATATTGACCATGTCTTATAGACAGGTCTTTATTTCCAACTCAACACGGTTAAAACAGTTTGTCGGCCCAAAAGTAAAATAATGGTTGGGCAAACTAAATTGTGCTTTTCTGAATACATTAAAAAACACAATTTAGTTAACCCGCCTAAATTTAAGAAATTATTGAACAAAAAAATTCAAAAAAACTATTACCTTCTACAAATAAATAAACATAACTTGCAATCAAAAGAAAAATTAGTTTGCCCATTTTTTTTTTCAATCCAATTATTTATCGAGTCTATCAAATAGTTTTACTCTATAAGTGAAAAACTTTTTGATAATAAATTTTTTTTAAATTTTTGTTTATATACGTTTGATTTCATAATATGGATATCCGTTTCTCCAGATATTGGATACAAACTACATTTTATCTGCTTAATACCTTAATTATCCTAATTGATTTCAACGTCTATTGAACCTCTTCATTCTAATCATTTTAAGAATATTTAAAACTCCGCCCACCTTTTATATATTTTTATTTCACTAGTTACATAGATAAGGTCAAAGGCGGTGTCGTGGCTAGTGGTTCCCCCTCCCCCTTTCCCGTCCTCGACGGAAAATAAATAAAAACTTGCCATTAGGGCCCTAAAATCTTAAAACTTTTTGCATTAGTTGTTGGTATAAAAGAATGATCCTTAACTTTGTAAAAAGCCCCTTAAATTTCCGATTGGGTTACCTAATTTTGCTGCACCCTCTCTCCCTTCAACTGGTGTGTGTGATGTAGCCTAGCCATAGCCTCTGAGCAAAGGGGTCGAGATTGGTTTTTACGTAGTTATAATTAGTAAAAGTATATATATATATATATATATATATATATATATATATATATATATAAATATATATATATATATATATATATATATATATATATATATATATATATATATATATATATATACTTTTATAAGTATATATATATACTTTTATAAGTATATATATATATTTTATAAGTATATATATATATATATATATATATATATATATATATATATATATATATATATATATATATATATATTTTATATATATATTTTATATAAGTAAAAGTATATATATATATATATATATATATATATATATATATATATATATATATATATATATATATATATATATATATATATATATATATATATATATATAACATTAGCTTAACTCGGGTATTCTTTATAAAAAGTATCCTATTGAAAAGCAAATAGTACTAAAAGGTTTCAAAATTAATTATTTTAATTTAAACAGTATTTACAATATAATAATTAGTTTATAATTAGTTTTGACATACAGATCTATTAACTCTAACGGAAACTGTGTTTTATATACTAAAACTATATTATGTAATATTACTTTATTATATAACATAACTAAGAATTATAATATAGAATATATTACATAACATAAAAACTACATTTTATAATATAGGTTATATAATAATATAACTATATAGATGTATTGGATGACTTGTAACACTATCGTCAAAAATGAATTTTATATGAGTTAAAACACTATATGGACATATAGTGTTTTAACCCATATAAAAACACTTTTTACGAACCCTTAGTTTTCAAACATTAAAAGGCTAAATATAAGTACACTGCAAAAAATTGAATTACAGTGTGCATCAAACTGCATGACATGATATCAGTATTTTTTTGCATTGTAGTATTAGCTTGACAGTACTAAAAAAGTTAATGAAATCTGCTGGAAAAAAAGAACTAAATGAATTAAAGAGAATCATATCCATACAAATGTCTATATCTTCATTTTCCTTACTTAACAATAAGTGAACTTTCTTCAAAAAAGATTGTTTCAAAACTTTTATGAAGATTTCTATCTCTAAAAATAAATCTATTTGCTCGCATCTCTTTTCGAGAATCTTGCAGCTGCACAATCTAATATATAAATTTAACATTTGTGCTGTTTCACAATCTCTCATTGTGCAGTTGCTAAACTTATTATACAAATTTAACTTCACCATTCTAGTTCAAATGTGCTTTTTTAATGCCAATAATACCCTCGATTGTTTTCTATAATTTCCTTTGTGTCATTTGATATCTACAAATTATTTTTATCAACTTTGATTGTGTTTTTTGATGTCTTTACAAACAGATCTTTTTTAGCATCCTAACAACTATTAAAGTTAGTGTGTCACGATGCAAAGATTTTAATTAGAAAGTTATATAAAAAAGAGCATTATATATAAAAGGTTTCTGAAATAAATTCGTGATGATTTTATATTAGAAAGTCAAAATTATATTTTTGAAGCGGGTTTAACCTTCAAAAGACTAAATTAAATTGCAGTAAATGTTTTTGTTTTGTTGCTGTGGTAATTTAAATAGGAGGTGGGGGTAATTTGAAAAGAGGTAAGCTAAAGTGACTGATACTCAGGAAATTGAGTCTAGAATATAAAACTCAGAGTAAATTAGTTTGTTAAAATTTTTAGTATAAATAATACACATGTAAAAGATGAATTTTTATTTAGCCTTATCTTCAGCTTTTGAGCCTTCTTAAGATCTGAACAAAAAATATAGGCCGAACTAAATTTTACGCTTTTTTTTTTATATTAAGAAATAGTCTCAAAATGGGAAGTATTTTTTATCTCATATCTAATGTGTTTTGCTTTTTGTATATTATATTTAACATATATCTAAAAAAAGACTGATTAAAGGATAATTTTTCTAAAAGCTGTCTAATAAAGCTGTGATAAAACTACCCTGTTATTGAACATCTTTATCGTGTCTTTTTTTTTTTTTGCATTACACTTTATGCTCTATGACCTCAATGACTGAATTCATAAAAAGCTATTGGTGTACTTCACACAAAAAAATTATTTTTTTTGTATGAACTACTACTATTTAAGATTATTTTCACATTGTAAACATCAATAAATAAACTATTTTCAAAAACTGAATAGGACTCAAAGAAGAAACGGGGAAAAACATTTCATAAAGCCTTTTAATATAATAAAATTGTTAAAAAAAGTTATAAAAAACCATAACTATATTTTAAACTACTGATATAATGAGAAAGTAATTTATTTTAACAAGAGCAGAAATATTTCGCAGCAACTATTTTGCAAATTTAAATATTACAAGGTTTAGAAATATATACAAACATATAATAGTTAACACATTAAAGATGAAAGGAATTTGTAAATACTAAGATTAATAAAATTTATTTGAGTTACTAACTATTATTCTGCAAGATTAAAAATGAGTTTTTTTGCTTTAAACTTAAATAAGATTATTGATTTTACCATATTTGTAATATCTTTTTGAAAGCAATTCCATGACTAAGGTCAAAACACTAATAAACATTCTTTATATTTATTTGATTTTTTTGGCAGTCTAAAGAAATTCGATTTATTTGTTCTTACGATTTGTTCATCACGATTTTCAAACTTATAAAAAAAATTAGATGGACTTAGATTATAAATACATTTTTATATAAAAGTTAGCTTCTAATAAATATTTTTATACATAGTTTTTATATAAAAGTTAGCTTCTGATAAATATTTATTTCATATACATTTATCATTTTTATATCTCTCATTAAATGCTCTCCTTTTTTTCGCATATTTTTCTACAGTCAATATTTATTTATTTTATTTTTTTATTACGTTTTGTAGATTGTTGATATAATATTGTTGATAATATATACCAATAATATTGATAACATTTACTTATATTTAAAAGTAAATATTGGCGTATTTGATAACATTTACTTATATCTAAAAGTAAATATTGGCGTATTTGATAACATTTACTTATATCTAAAAGTAAGTATTGGCGTATTTGATAACATTTACTTATATCTAAAAGTAAGTATTGGCGTATTTGATAACATTTACTTATATCTAAAAGTAAATATTGGCGTATTTGATAACATTTACTTATATCTAAAAGTAAATATTGGCGTATTTGATAACATTTACTTAGATCTAAAAGTAAATATTGGCGTATTTGATAACATTTACTTATATCTAAAAGTAAATATTGGCGTATTTGATAACATTTACTTATATCTAAAAGTAAATATTGGCGTATTTGATAACATTTACTTAAATCTAAAAGTAAATATTGGCGTATTTAATAAAACAATGAGTTAAAGAAGAAGTAAAATAACTTTTGATAAATTTTATTTCAAATTTACATAAGGGCGAAACAAAATTTACATAAGGGCGAAACAAAATTTACATAAGGGCGAGACAAAATTTACTTAAGGGCGAGCCAAGGGCTGGTGTTGTCGTTCACTATATTCCCAACTTTCCTTTTTTTTTTTCATTGAAGATTAAATTTTTTGTCATAGGAATTAAACTACTTTTAGAAATACCAAAAAAAAGGTTGTTAGATCTTACTAATTTTAATGTCGGAACCTTTTACAAGCGTGTAAACCACATCAGTAGGCTGAATGCGTACGTATAAAATATATCAAAGTTGTTTAATAAGTATAAAATATATCAAAAAAGGTTTTTTTCTAGGATATAGTGAACTACATGTAATAAAAAACTGATTCAACATATTCGAAAAAAGACATATATATTAAAAATATATTATTATTTCTAAATGTTTGTTTAATTATTGGTTCTAAACAAAAAAGATCATCAAAAACGGATAGAGATAAGTAATCTTTCCAGATATATATAGAGAAACTATAAACTAAAAACTTTTAAAAAAATGGTATAGAATGAGTGCATCAATCCACAAAGTTAGTTAAACGGATTCATCTGTTTATGAGGTTAAAGAAAACATGCAACGCATGAATTGATGTTTAGGAATACAGACAACTCATAAAAATTAAAAATATTTCTTAATATTTTAAAAATAAGGATTTAGAATTCGGAAATAAAAAAATAGAAATAAACATCTGATTATAATCGACCAATTATGCTAATTAAAAAGATACAAAAGTATAAAGCAAAGCTTAAACAAAAATAGTACAAATAAACTCTACGTTTTTCCGCTTTGAAACTTAAGAACACTTTGAGGATGTTTCAATGCATAAGGCTTTAAAATTTCTTGTAAAAACTCACGAAGCCTTTGTGCATATAAAATTTCCCCTAGTTATAAAAAGACATTATAGTGTGGGTAATGGGGATTAATTTTTACAAATCTTTAGAACAATGTTACTGATTATACTGACTATAAATAAAACTTTAGTTATATATAATTATTCTTGTAACAATTATTCTTAAAAACTTTTATTGTATATAATTAAAGTTTTTAAAAATATTTGTTGAAAAACAAATATTATGGCTTCACGGTCAGCACGGATCCTTATAATGC